ATCTGTAAACCTAAAAATGTACAGCCAATTTTGAAAGAGATGTACCCTAGCTCAGAAAAATGTTATTGAATAGGTTAATGCTGTTGTAATGCAATGCTTCTTTTAGTTAAAAAATAAAAAAAACAAATATTCTCAGATAAAAAAAAACTCTCTTTTATTATTTTCTGTTGCTTGTAAGCTTTCCTCAATCCTAGGTGGGTTTTTTAAGCATTGCTGGATGGCTGCCATAATTGGGAAAAAGGAGAGGGGAAAATTATGCTTTTCTTGGTTTTTTTTCTTGTAAGCCAAATGTGCAAGAAAGTTTCAGACCTCTGGATCAGATATGTCTGCTGATAAGATCCAGGGTGCAAATTGATACACCTCATTCCAAAATTTTAAGCTTTCTTCTTTTGAAATTTTAAGTCCTCTGGATTTGAGCAGGGTTTTAAGAGAACGAATTTGGCGCTTTCTCTGGCGGGATGCAGAATTTCCCATTGAAAGGGAGGTGTTTTTACAGCAGTCAGACACTAGAGGGCTTGGAGCAAGTTACAAGTCTCCAGACTGCAGAAAAAAAAATGTCACTTTTAAATCTTTTGTCTGGGAGCCGCTTTGAGCTTCCAGATGCTTGGCAGGGGCTAGTTAATTTAAATTCTCACTTAACTGGTTTCAGGTGTGGTTTGAATGCCTGGGGGTAGGGTAGGAAATCTGCCTGACTAGAGAAATCTGCCTTAGAAGCTGACCTTAAGGAACTTTGGGGATTTTTCTAGCAGCGTTCAGATAGAAAAGTTGGGTGAGGTGATGGTTCCCAAAGGAACATTCCTGAAATTAAAATTTCAGGGGATTCCGTCTGGTTCCCAGTCAGGCCTGCCCGCAAATTTGAGGAACTGGCAGCCGCCCTAATGGCTCTTAAGTGGCCGATGCGTCACCAGGTTTTGATATTAAAAAGATATAAAGATAGAGGTCTTTTGCCCACACCTGTGCAGGTAGTCGGGTCCGTTAGGGGATCAGAGAGACCTTCAGCTAACACCAGGGGGTAGCCCTGGCCAGAAAGCGTCAGTTGTTTCTCTGGCCCTAGCGGTCCCACGCGAGAACTTCAGAACAGAAAAGAAAAGGAGGAAATTTGGAAGAGATTTTTTGTTGCCCTCCTGAGGGGGAGGGATACTCATGGATCTTGCGTTTCAGTGGGCACCAGCTCCTAGCTGGCACGAGGTTCAGAGGCCCCACGTTGGGCACCAGGTATGGGGCACGCGGTCCCGCGGGGATCGGTCCCCTGCTCTCAGTCGCGTGCCCTGGAAGTGCGGCGGGTTCCGCGGGCGTCTGTCTCTGGCCGCACGTCGCTGTCCGCCGCTTAGGTGCTGAAAGTCTCTGCTGCTGAGGCGTTACTCAGCCGTGTCCCGCCTTAATTTCACCCGTGTACTCTCTCTCTGGATTCGGAGCCTGTCAGCTGCCGGGCCACGAGGAGAGGTACGAGGCGGCTGAAGCTAGGATTCCGTGAGTCGATGACGGAGGAATGCTGCCCCCCGGAGAGGCTGGATCGACGGCAGTAAGACGCAGGACTCAGCCTAGTCCATGTTACAGCTTTATTAAATGACTCTGCTTGGCTTCAGGTCTCAGTGTTTCAGCTCCTAGCTCCTAGCGATCCAGCTCTCTATTACTGAGAGAAGACTGGGATATTTTATACTGTAGAGGCAGTGGTAAAAGCTATAGCTGATAGGCACTTTGTGAGATACCTTATTTACATATGGGAGTGGGCTCCTGCCATGCTGCCAGACTGCCAGACTGCCTGAAAAATCACACAGGAAAGCATGGTATTTCCAGAGCCAGAGGCCATGTTTATGTTGGGGCATTGGCGGGCACTTCAAAAGGTGAGTCAGGAGGATGCTAGGAAAAGCACTCTATTGTTAAAAGGAGTCCCTGCATTTACACCAAGCCCGTGGGCTATCCGGTCATGGAGGAACTTCTACTTCACACAACAGGGGTCCCCAACAACAGTGGTCAAGTGAAAAGGGGTTCTCAGCCTCTCCTGGAACTCTCCCCCACCAGGGCTTACACCAGACTCTGGTCCCCCTCTGCAGTCTCTGCCGGCCGGGCTTCTTACCCTGACCCATTTCTTTCTTCTCTTTCACCCACGCACCAGGCAGGCTTAATAACAGCAGACCCAAACACCCAGGGGTGCCCAGGAGTACCCTTTGAAAGTCACGTGACCTCAAACCACAATGAGACAGGCCTGGTGCTTGATCCCTCATCTTTCCTCTCTAGGACACCAGGTCCCTCCCACCTGGGCACCTGCGTGGCCAGGAGCTTTCTGAGAAATGAGTTCTCACACATTTCTCATCGGAATCTGAATCACATCTCGAATCCTCTCCGTCATACCCAGGCCATCTCTCAGCCTTCAAAACATTCTAGAGCCAGCCTGTTCTGTGGTGGAGTGCTAGTGGCCCCGGGTTTCATTTTCAGTACAGCTAATCGAAAAATCCAAGAAAGTCAGGAATCTATGTTTACATGGACCTCGCCCAGGCTCAGGCTAACCCAACAGTCCCTGAGCCCCAAAGTACATCACAAGCCTCTGAAGATCTGAGGGGTGGAGCTCAATGATAGCGTGCTCGCAAGCATGCACAGGCCCTGGGTTCCATCCCCAGCATGAGAGAAAACCGAGAATTTTCCTGGAATAAAAGCTCCTGAGGCTCAGCCACCAAGACAGTTGCTGAGCCCCTCGCCAGTCCCTCTCCGGAGCCCCGCTCCACAACCAGCTTCTTAGCCCCGCCCCGAAACCCTCTCCCAACCCTTGACCTCCCCTGAGTCCCGCCCCTTACCCTCTCCTGGACCCCGCCCCCTATTCCTCTCTGGAGCCCCGCCTCTGACCCTCTCAGCACACGCACATGGCGGCTAATAGCCATGTGTAACTCCAGTTCAGCAGGCATTGCATGACACGAGTGCACTTACACACATGCAGGCAATACACTCATATACATTGTCCTAGTCTGTTTCTCCACTGCTGTGACAAAACACTCTGACCAATACCAACTTGGGGAGGAAAGGGTTTATTTGTCTTACATATCCCAGGTCGCATGCAGTTCATCAGGGAGCCCAGGGTAAGAACTCAAGGCAGGAACCTGGAGGCGGGAGCTGGAGCACAGGCCTTGGAGGAATGCTGCTTACTGGCTTGCTCCCCTGGGTCCTGCTCAGCCTGCTTTCTTATGCAACACAGGCCCATCTGCCTAAGGGTGGCACCACCCACAGTGGGCTGGGCCCTCCCACATCACTCATCAAGAAGATGCCCCTCAGACATGGCCACAGGCCAGTCCAATGAAGGAAATTCCCCAACTGAGGCTCCCTCAACCCAAATGTGTCAAGTTGACACTAAAGCTATCCAGCACATACATAAAAAATAAAAATAAATAAAAAATTAAAAACCCTAGCCAAGTGTAGTGGCACATGCCTTTAATCCCAGCACTCAGGAGGCAGAGGCAGGTTGATCTCTACGAGTTTGAGGCCAGCCTGGTCTACATATTGAGTTCCAGAACAGCTGTGGCTACAGGGAGTCCCTGCCTATGCCTATAAGGCTGTGGCTGTGGCTCTGTGGGTAGAGTACTTGTCTAGCATGCATGAGGTCCTGGGCTCCATCCTCAGTATCACATAAGCCATGCATGGTGGTACATGCCTGCAATCCCAGCACTGGGGATGTGGAGACAGGAGCATCAGGAATTTAAGGCTAGCTTCAGGTGCTGCTTCATAGAATTTTCAGGCCAGGATGGAGACAGATCAAGAGGAGGCTTGGCAGAGTCTGGGTGAGAGATGTTGGTGTAGACCAAGGTGGGAGCCACGGGCTGAACGTGGTGGACACCAGCAGAGGTGGGAGAGGGCAGGCATGGTTTCTATGGCTTTGTAGGTCATGTGTAATCTCTTAATCTTTGCAGCGGGCCCAAGACATAGAGGGACCATGCTTAACCTCCCCACTTTCTGAGATAGAAGATTGAAACCTGGACGTGGTACATGCCTTTAGTCCCAGCACTCAGGAGGCAGAGGGAGGCGGATCTCAGTGAGATCGAGGCCAGCCTGCACTACATAGTAAGTTTAAGTCAGCTGGGACTACAGGGAAACCCTGCCTCAAAAAGGCTAAATAAAAATAAATAAATAAATAAATAAATAAATAAATAAATAAATATTAAAGACCCTAGCCAGGTTTACAGCGAAAGTCTGTCTCAGAAAACTGAGGACTGCACAGAGCTTGGCGCACTTGTCAAACATGCTCAACTCTCTGGGGTCACTGACCAGCAAGGAGCGGGGAGAATTCTTGTTGTTAGGCATCACACAGAAAGATGAAGTGATGTCCTGGGTTTGGGGTTTGACTCCCTCAAACAAATGTTTCATTTCTCTTTATTTTTAATTACTTAATTGTGTGTGCATGGATGCATGTGCCTCATCGCACGTGTGAAGGTCAGAGGAAAACTTACAGGAATCAGTTCTCTCCTCCCACCATGTGGGTCCTGGGAATCAAAATCAGGTCATCAGTCTTGATGGCAAGCAACTTTACCCTCTGAGCCATCTTGTTGGCCCTGTTTCTCCAACCTGGGAACATGGATGGTGTTGGAAGAAGACAGCTGCTGTGGCAGACATTGTCTGGAAAAGCTTCTGAGCCGGGATCTTTCTCCTTCACCCCAAATCCACTGCATCAAGCAGCCCTTCCCATCTTTCCAGCCTAGCGCCCTCAGGGACTAACTAGCAGGCTTGAGTCATGGGACTGTCAAGTACAGCCTCCTCCCGGTCCACGCCTGGACAGCTCCTGATGCTGTCCACACACACACTTCTGATAATTAAGATGGAAAATGTACTCATGGTTTCTCCGCCACTTCCCAGGAAATTACCCCTGAGACTGAAAGGCCTGGTGGCTGGGGATTTGAGTTTCTGGAACTTGGAGGGAGGGAGGGACAGCTGGAGATTTAAGGCAAGACCAGCGGCTGTGAGGTGGAGCCCCAGCGTGTCTCAGGGATGAATGAGGTCGTGCATTCTGCGGTGGTCTGAGCGTTGGTGTGGCTATAAAGCACAGGGGTGTCTTCGGTACCCCTCCTGGCTGTCCCAAGCCTGCAAATAAGGTGGGTCTTCTCTTTAACCATCTGATTTTGGGGTGGGTAGGGTCTTAGAGGGTGTAGGCCAAGGGGGGTGTTTGTGATGTTACTGGCTTCCCCTCTGTGCCCATTTATGGTAGATCTTGGGATTCACAGCCAATAGCTGTGTGCACATCGTAGGGGGGGGCTCCCATTTCCCTGTCTTCTCAGGACCCCGATCTGTCCGTGTTCCAAGGTCTGAGCTGACCTTTCTGAGCTTGCTGGAAAACCTGCTATCTTCAGAATACTAGACCGGAGTCTGTTTCTAGTTTTCTTGCCCTGTCCCTGGGGAGGACTGGTGACCCGTTTGTGCTGTGCTGTTTTCAGGTCTCAGAACTGTTGGAATTCCAGCAGGCTCGCGGTCTCTCGAACCCAGAGCCTCTGACTCCAGTCCTCCCTTTCAGCACCGCGATGGCGGACAGCGCCCTGGACGGAGCTAGGGTCACCTGTCCTCCCGGTGCTGGTCCTGACTCCTTCCTTCAGCCCTGGGCCTGACTCCTGGCTGTCCCCAGCAACCAGCGGCTCTCTGCTCTTTGCTCCTCAGCACCATCTCCACATCCACTGCTCTTGGGTGCTGGGAGCTGCTGCCACCCTCTATTGCCTCTGTCTCCTCCACCCCTGGCCCGGGTCTGCTGTCCAGGTTCCCGAGCGCATGGAGACCCCGGGGGTCGGCCGCGCAGGAGTCCCCCGGTCCCCGAAGCACCTGTGGTGGCAGCCCCGGCGCCCCATTCGCATACAGCGGCGATTCCACTCAGACCCGGAGAGCAGCACGCGGCCCACGCTCAGAAAGTCTCGGCGCTCGTGGCCCAGCTCTTTCCACCGACGGTAGGTGGGAACTTCGAGTGGGTGGGGCTGGGTGAACGCTGGGCGGGGCCCGTAGCGGGTGGGGCTTGGGGTTCAGATGGGCGTGGCCTGCAGTGGGCAGAAGCAGCCTGTCCTTTTAGGAGGTAGGGCGGGGCCCTAGGATGGTGGGCATGGTCTGTTATGGACCGGGCCTGTTGGGGCTGGCACGTGGGTGCAAGCCAAAGGGTGAGGGAAGCACAGGGCTCCCCCTGGGGACCGGGTGGGGAGCCTGTGTCTTGTAAGGTGTGCACCCTGGGGGATAGATAAGTTGTGTGGAATGGCCCTGGCAGTGAGTGGGGTGCCATGGTTTCCTGTGGGTCTGGGTGACACCTGGTGTCCAGGTGCAGTGGACTCTGAGTGTGTGTGCCAGCGCACAGGTGCAGGCCACAGTCTGAACAGGCTGCAACCTGGGGTGGGTCTCCTGTCACCTACTAACCATGGGTGACCAGGTGTGGCTGGGTTCCCACTGCCTGCGGCTTAGCATGTGAGTTTCCTCTCAGGGGGCTGTGGATGGGTGGGCAGCTGGATATGACTGTCCTTGTCTTAGCTAGGTGTGTTGAGTGAGGGGTCCTAAGGAATGTCTGCAGATATCTTAAGGGACACGATGTCCCCTCACCATCTAAGTGCCTCTTGGGTCAGTGAAGAGATAGTGCTAGGAACAGCTCTCCAGTGGTTTCTGTGGGCTGTTGTGGACCCCGACTGGCACAGGCCCAGAACACAGAACATTTCTTGTCCTTAAGAAGAGAGGGGCTGGGAGTAGTGAGGGGGCACATCTGGCAGCCTGCAGCCAAGCATGCCTGAGTCCTGGGCTCTTCCCCAGCACAGCATAAGCCAGGTCTGGTGGCCCATGCCTGTCATTCCAGCACTGGAGGTGGAAGCAGGAGGAGCAGGAGTTCAAGGCCATCCCTGGGGACAAGGCTAGTTTGAGGCCAGCCTGGGTTACTTGAGACTTGGCCTGAGAAAGAAAAGAAAAAGAAAGGAATAGCCCGGCAGCTCCTGTTTCTAAAATGGGGCTGTGGGGGCAGAGAAGAGACTGAAGAGACACAGGGAGGTGAGGCAGAGTTCCTAAGGGGCAGCGTGGGGCTGCAGGCTTCCTCCATGCCAATCAGGCCAGACCAGGCTCCCAAGCTCAAGTCCAGGCTGAGTGCCTGAGCTATACCATCCTACTCCTTGGACTCCCAGGGGCACAAGCCTGGCTAGTGTCCCTGGCCTCTCACACCCCGGATAGCTCCAGTATAGATGGGTCCCTCTATCCAGAGGGAGGTGGCTCTGTTCCCAGGTGACCCAGCAGGGCCTGCTCCACTCCTCCCCATGACTCACAATTTTTCATCTTCAAAAAAGCAAACACAGCCAGGTGTGGTGGCGCATGCCTTTAATCCCAGCACTCGGGAGGCAGAGGCAGGCGGATCTCTGTGAGTTCAAGGCCAGCCTGGTCTAAATAGTGAGTTCTAGGACAGCAGGTCTACTGGGAGACCCTGTCTCAAAAAGACAAAAAAAGAGAACAAACACATTTCAGTTGGGCCTGTCTGGAGTGGGGGAGGCCCCATGTGGCCCAGGAAGCTAGGCGTGGCAGATGCCTGTACTATTCCATATGGGAGGGGAGGGGCTCACCCCGAGGGGCCCAGAGAAATCAAGTTCATTCAAGGCTGTGAGATGAAAATTCTACCCCTAGCTTGATCTTCCTCACAGCCCTCAACGGATCACTTGGGTGTAGGACGGTCAGAATACCTTGTTCATAAAGCATTTATCAACAGTCTCTACAGTTTGCCTAGTCCTATACCAAAACCCATGAAGTGCTCACAGGCTAGTGATGGAGGTCCTCACAACAGGACTTCAGGGACTCTGGGAGCCCAAAGGTGGCTCATGGGCCAGTATAGCTGGGGAGTGGAAGGGGAGACTTTCTGTTTATGTTGCATGCCTTTATGGAGCACAGACTGAGTACCAGGAGCTGAGGGTATGGCTGGACAGATGTGACCCTACCTTTAGGGGACCCATGGGGTGTCTGGATCCAGAAACAGCAAATGGAACATGAGGCTGGAGCAGACAGGGCTAAGAGGACCAAGCCGAGACAGGCTGCATGGAGACTTGTAAAGTGGGGAGCCATGGGAGAATGAGGAAGAGGGGAGTATACAGGTCCCATCAGCCTCCACCCTCCCTCCTCTGCCTTAACCTTCCTAGGGGACTTGAGTAAGTGGTCTCTCCTCCCAGGACCACAGCAAAATGGACAGAACAGAGCTCATTTACCTTGTCTCTGGAGCCTCCTGGTAGCAGAGGAGAAAAGTGCCTATCCAGTAGAAAAAACAAAGGCAATGGTCAAGGGCCCCAGAGATTTCTGGGCAGCCTCCTGCCCTGGGGTCACATAGCAGTGTAGGATCAGGTCAGGATGGGGTCCCCATCTGTCCCCCTTGCTTCATCCTTTCCCTAGCAGGACTTGTAATCCTGGAAGCTCACGTGAGCTGGACATCAAATTCCCAGTTCAGCTCTCTAGTTATTTCTATTTCTCTATGTTAAAAGCTATTAATGTCACATCACTGTAAAAATCGTTAATGAAACAAATTTGAATCTGTGAATGAAACAGTCATAGTACAGCCATTGGTAAAATATTCGTCAGGGTGACCACTGGGACCGCAGTGAGGTAGATAGTTAATGATTAAGTGGGAGAGGGCCAGATGAGGGAGGTCACTGACCCGGCTCCAGTGACTGGGCCCTACCTCGCATAGCTGTGTGACCACAGGCAAGTGGCCAAACCTCTGTTTCTCACAGCATTTGACAGAACACCAATTGCATAAGAGGCAGTCACTTCTTAGTTACTCTATAGTCAGTTCTCACCTATTTTCTGTGATTTTAGGGGTGGAGCTGAATCCCTCTGTGCCTCAGTTTCTCCTTGGTGTGGTGGGCCCATGATGAGGCCCTCTCACAGGCAGCCTGCAGTGACATCAGGACTTCTTGTCCCCTGGCTCTGATGTCCCCCTCTTCCTAGCAGACCCTGCTGGCCTCTGGCCCCTGAGAATAGCTATAATTAGTTGCCGGCCCAGCAGCAAGGGTATTCTTGTTTTGGTTCAGCTAAATCTGTTTGCACCAGTTGTCCAGGCCTGGGGATTAGTTTGTGGGCGGGGCTTCCTGGTCAGGCCCAGCAACTGTCTTTTTGGCCTCCCAGCCTCAGGGTTATAACCTGAGAAATGGGTGGAACTGGGGTTCCAGCTGTAGCAGGGTCCTCTTGTGCTCCTGCCTGCACTGCTCAGTAGGTAAGCACCTTAGATTCCCCAGCATGTCTGGAAACATGGATGCCACTTGCCAGGGACACCTAGGACCAGGGCTTGGCTGCAGGGTTGGGGCCAGCCTCAGTTCAGAAGTTTCTGGGACTCCATGTGTCCCAAGGGTATTCTATGTCTTTCCTCTACATGTGATGCCCACGAGCCTCAGTTTCCCCTTATGTCGAGTGGAGTGGTGTTCTCAGCATTTGGAGGGCAGAGCACAGACCCGAGGTAGCCCATGGGTGCCATCGCCCTTTCCCAGGCCCTGGAAATCCTTGTGTGTCCGGGTGAGGACAGCTGGCAGTCACAGAAAGGAAGGCTGGGTGGATGTTTGTCTAGGAGAGACAGATGCTGAGCTAATGAAGCTGTCCAGACTCGGGCCTGGGGAATGTCAGAGCAGGTCACATGAGGCTGGGGCTGGAGGGCACTGAGCTGCAGCCACGGCCCACAGAAGCCCTGAACCCCTGCTTCAAGCTTTAGTTTCCCCAGCTGGCAAAGGCTAAAGGTTTGTTTTTGCCTGGGCCGACCTCGGTGGTTGACCTGAAATGACCCAAAACACTAGGCGGGCTATGGTAACCCTGTGAGGGGGTCAACCCACTTCCTGATCGTAAAGAGGAGGCCAGGGTCACGCCCAGATACATAGAGTCTCAATCCCCAGGTCTTCCCCAAGTCCCAGACCCTCAGCCACCATCCCTCCTCCGTAAAGGTTATACGGAGGGCGTTGCAATGAAAGTTTGTACATCTTCCATATACTGGATTTGTGGAAAGTCTAGGTCTCTGTATACTTTTGACAATGACCAGTCCCTGGTCCTTAATCCAATACCCCGTCCCCGTGGTTTCACATCCCCAGTTATAACAGTAGTATGAATCAGCCCCCCGACAGTTGCGCAGCTGCTGCAAAATTCTACCACTTCCTGGGCAAACATAAAAATCTGTCTGTGATAACGCGTCCTGCTTGAGCAGATGGGAGCACCCCGGCTCCCTGGGGGACCCCGTTAATGGTAACGTGCATCCACGTCCTGTGTCCCCACATTCAGGCCGGGTCTCCCCTAGAGTCTGGTCGCCGATGTCCCACGATCCGGTAGCCAGGGCACAGAGATCTACCTCCAGGTCGGGCCACCATGTGTCTGGTGGTGTCACCTTTGTGGTGCTGTTGGCAATCATTCCCATAGCTGCACTGATCACCAACCATGTGACCTTTTGGGGCTGGTGTGGATTCAGGGTCTCTATAGATCCAGATGATCTTGTCAGCATCGGCCCCTCGATTGTCAGGAGTGACAGGATGAGCATGAAGGTGAGTTTCCTCATCTTGATCTGTAAGAGACAGAGAGAGAAGGGCTTCCTCAAGGGTAGGTCTCCCTTGGCGATTATGAGGAGGTGTCTGTCTGTGTTTTGTTCGTTTCTTTTGGGCCTTAAGGGCCAAGTGTTGGCTCCGCCAGGGTCTTTTCTTTTCCCTGTTAGTCATCTTCGTTGGAGCCATCACCCTGTAGGGGGAGATATTTGAGGTTTCTGGCTGGTACCCAAATAGGCTTGTCTTCTCCCGTGGGGAAAACACAACCGAATCCTCTCCCCATCGTTAACAGTGGGTCCGGTCCTCTCCACTGGCCCGTCGGGTCCTTCCATCTCACCTCTACTCGGGGTTTGGTATTTTCTTGTCCCTAGTGAACTTGAAATTTAGATTGTGAAGTATTTTTTGAGCGATCTAAAATATTTATGGTGAATAGGGCT